GGGATCTTCATTGACTTACGTAAAGCTTTTGATACAGTTAACCATGACTTGCTCCACGTAAAATTGTCACACTATGGTATAAGAGGGCACTCCCTCAACTACCTCAAGTCATACCTCAGCAACAGAAGCCAATATGTGTATGCAAATGGGGCAAACTCTTCTGCACAACCAATTACAGTTGGTGTCCCACAGGGAAGTGTCCTTGGCCCTCTTCTCTTTCTCCTATACATAAATGACCTACCAAATGCTTCGCAATTACTCAAACCACACTATTTGCAGATGACACTACATACGTCTTCTCCCACCCGAGCCCAGTCACGCTAGCCAATACTGTAAATACAGAATTACAGAAAATATCTACCTGGATGAGGACTAACAAACTTACACTAAACATTGACAAAACCTACTTCATTCAGTTTGGTAACAGAGCTACAGATGTCCCTCTTAACATAATGATAAACGGATCACCTATCACAAAGCTAACAGAGGGAAAATTCTTAGGAATCCACCTTGATAATAAACTCAAATTTCATACACATATACAACAAATTTCTAAGAAAATTTCCAAGACTGTAGGCATACTATCGAAGATACGGTACTATGCTCCACAGTCAGCCCTCCTGGCCCTATATCACTCTCTTATTTACCCCTATCTCACCTATGGAATTTGTGCATGGGGCTCAACAACAAGTAACCATCTCAGACCACTAATTACCCAACAAAAGGCTGCAGTTAGAATGATAACAAATTCTCACTATAGGCAGCACACTCCACCAATATTCAATACACTAAACCTATTCACCATACAAAACATTCATACTTATTACTGCACCTATTACATACATAGAACACTTAACTCTGATATTAACCCTCCCTCAAACATCTCCTTGCCAACCTCAACAGAACACATGACCATAACACAAGGCACAGATCACTCTTTGATGTTCCTCGTGTCCATCTCACACTTTGCAAAAACTCAATGCACATAAAAGGCCCTAAAATCTGGAACTCATTACCTGTAAATATAAAAAGAAACACTACCTGTTTATAAATTCAAGTCTCTTCTCAAAGATCACTTACTCACCCAAAACCAAATAAATACTGAATAACTGAACCTTATAAATTGTATATCTTAAATGTTTCTCACAATTATATCACATAAATGTTAAACCTAAAACCAATCTAACTTTATTATTTTTTAAATACACTACCTAACAGAATACTCCATTCTACTGAATGTACAACAATGCATACAACCATATGACCTGTCTTTGTAATACTCACTTGTGCTTTATAGTAATCTGTTTACATTAAAGTTTTATCACCGATGTCATCATTGCTTAGTTCATCTTAAGTTAATTTTAAGCCAGCCCGTAATGCTATGCATAGTATAAGTGGCTTTGGCATACTGCTCTTTTCTGTATTTTTTGTACCTCTGTATGTGTGCACAAATTTTTAAATAAATAAATAAATAAATAAATAAATAAATAAGGGAAGGGGCAATCTCCGAGGGTTGCAGAAAGCAAGTTCCAATGTGGAAAAATTGATGGTCATTCGAAAACCACATCGAATCACTATCAACTTAGTGCCATATGAAATTGTTACCAAACTGGTTAATACACAAGACGTCAGTGTGGGTGTAACTATAAATAAATGCATCATGTGCTTGTCACCCTATGCTACATCAGATTTTTTTTTTTTTAAGCCCAGGAAGATTATCCTCAGAGCCTTGTGTTTACATACTCGTGTCATATTTACCTACCAAGAGCTGTTAGGAATGACTTGGGTTATCCTGGGCCAATGTATGCTGTGTAACCACTACCATCAGCTGTACGTTGCTGCGATTATTGGTTAGCTAGACCTGTGTATTTTGGAATATTCCGAAATACACAGGTCTCATCGCTCAGGCTCCAGTTACATTAAGTTACTACGTCTTAACTTTCTTGGCTTATCCTATTATTATAATCAAGGGGGAAGCACTAAACCTGTAGGATTATACATTATTATTATAATCAAGGGGGAAGAGCTAAACCCGGAGGATTATACAGCGCCTGGGGGGGATGTGGAAGGCATTCAGGCTTAATTCGGGGAACTGGAGCACAGATTCAATTCCCTAAATCAAGAGCCGCTCACCAACATCAAGGAAATGGCTTATCCTAGGTAACATTGTTGTCATAATGACAGCTGCATTTTCAAATCACTTGGACCCCCCAGTTAATGTTGCTATCTATCATCTAAACTTACGTAACCATATATTTAAACAAGCATCAGCATTTTGTAACTTATTTTGGACATAAAAGTTTTTCATAGATTTAGTGAATACTTGTGATCCATACATGAAGTATGGAGTATTCTTAAGGCCATTGCTCTATCCATGGAACATACATACCTTTATGTACATTGCAATAGAAACTAAGCACTAAACCCAAATGGATCATAGCGCTGCAATGCAGGATGTGTTCAAGATTAAATGTAAAGCATCAAAAGCTTTCGTTCATTCCAGTACACCGGGCTAGCAGTTTACATTAAAAAGAACCACACACAAATACCGAGACGAGGTGATTTCTACGAGTACGGGTAATTAGTTGCTGGTTAGTGTGAGTGCTTAATTAATGTCAAAGATTTTAAAACAGGTTAACTGTTAAAAACGAGTGAGCACTGAAGGTGATATATTCAGCAGGGCCATAATGAACGCGTCATGGAGCTGCAGTTGTCAAGTTTTTGTTGGTAATAGGCCAGTCTACATTTCAAAGTGGGTCTGCAGCTCTCAAACTGCAATAATCGGAATTATGGGTTTCTAGGTTCTTTCGAACTTACTGCACTGCTATTATGGAACCACTGGTACAAAACCGGTTAGTGCTATGGAAGCCTCGACAAGACTCCCTAGTGCTATGGAAGCCTCGACAATACTGCCTGGTGCTATGGAAGCCTCGACAAGACTCCCTAGTACTATGTAAGCCTCGACAACTCCCTAGTACTATGGAAGCCTCGACAAGACTCCCTAGTACTATGGAAGCCTCGACAAGACCCTAGTACTATGGAAGCCTCGACAAGACTCCCTTGTACTATGGAAGCCTCGACAACTCCCTAGTACTATGGAAACCTCGAAGACTCCGTAGTACTATGGAAGCCTTGACAAGACTCCCTAGTACTATGGAAGCCTCGACAAAACTCCCTAGTACTATGGAAGCCTCGACAACTCCCTAGTACTATGGAAACCTCGAAGACTCCGTAGTACTATGGAAGCCTCGACAAGACTCCCTAGTACTATGGAAGCCTCGACAAGACCAACCAATACTATGGAAACCTTAAACAGATCTGTTAGTGCTATGGAACCACTGGCAAGACCAATACTATGGAAACCCTGAAAAGATCTGCAAGTGCTATGGAACTACTGGCAAGACCTCCTAGTACTATGGAACCACTACTAAGACCTGCAACTAGCATGGATTATAATGAAGTGCTAAACTACAAGGGTTATACAGCACTGCAGGGCAGGGAAGACTAGTGTGGAACAGTTAATGCAAAAACTACAATTGATATTGGAAGGGTCGACAACCTTTAGATGTTACAAAACTGTTGATAAAAGATTGGTCAAGCACTATAAAACCATTAACCTATTACATTCATGTTAGGTAACAAGGTTCAATACAAGTAAAGGGAAGTCATGTTTAATTCTTTGGATGAAGAGCCTCCCTCCACTCGACATAAAGGAAACTTTTGAAAGTTGTGCTGTGGAACCATTAGCACAAGATCTGCTGAACTACCTGGTACTGCTATGGAACATATGACAGAAGACTTGCTAGTGCTAATGAACCATTAAAACAAGGAGTGCTATTTCTGCCACAGAAACATCAATGCAAGACTCTGTTACACATTTACAAAACCTGCAGATTGTGACACATTCTATTGCTGCTAGGAAACTGCTGATACAAGACCTGCTAGTTTAGCTACATTATTATTATAATCAAAAAGAAGCGCTAAGCCACAAGGGCTATATAGTGACTAGTGTAGCTACAAAAACAGACCAGCTAATGCTGTTATAATTTAGCAGACAAGTTACATGTGCCTATAAGTTCTTCTATGGAACTACTGACAAGACCTGCTAGTTCTGCTATGGAAGTGTTGGCATATAACCCACTAGCAATGCTGTGAACTGATAAATCTACCACTGTAACACAGTCCCATCAACTACTGTTGTCAACAACAGCCCACAGGACTATACCAAAACCACAATCTGATGCTTTCATAAAACACTGCTGTGAAGTCTCTCCAATGTTCAGGAATAAGTGCCCCACTTCTGGGAATTTCTAAATCACCTGCACATACTACAGTATCATACAAAATTAACATGTGGGAGCACTAAACCCATAGGGGTTATACAGTGCGTGTGTGCATGCATGTGTGGTTAAAGAAGCATTCAGGCTAAATTGAGGGAATTGGAGCACAGATCCAATTCCCTAGCTCAAGAGCCCCTCACCAGCATATGCAAAAGCCAGTGGAAATGTTAAGAGCAAATCTATAGATGAATGTGAAGCTTGAGGCATGGAAGGGGTAGGGCAGACATGGATCATGGGGATTTCCTAAAATCTTAGGGAAAAGTAGGAGTGGACATTAGTAGTACATCATTTAAATGCAGATTAAGATGAATGAAGAACAATCATGAAAACTAACATTTAAGGAAAAAAATCTTTGCAATCATGCAGAAGATAGTACAGGCTCAAAACATTCCCTCTGCAGAATCTCCAAATAACTTTTTTCAATCTTTTTTTTTTTTGCTTCCACCTTTGAAATCATGCCTATAAACACTGGTAGTGCTGATGCAAATACCTGTAATTAACCATCCCCTTACTGATTTTCACTTGAATTGAAATTTTTTTTTCAACCTAGCTACTTTCCCTTATCACATCAGGAACACTACCTTATCAACTCCTATAGTACGTGTATAAATTACTACTTTCCGTACTACAGAAATTATTACTGGACAAGAAACAATCGTCTTAATTTGAACTTTATTGATACAAAGAAAATTCATCATAAAAAATAAAATAAAAAAAAAAACTATAAAATGTATGCTCTAGAATTTATTTCAATATGGTTTCCTATCCACACCTCAGAACAATATACTGTACCTAAATAGTTAGGATGTTAACTACACTTTCATCTGCAGACACTTGTATTTAAATGATATAAATTAACCTTATTCACATCCTAATGTCTCAAAAATTACTTCACAAAATTGTTCCACAGCATCTGCTTTTAATTGTATTTATAAAAACGTCTTGAAGAATAATGAGTATCTCCCATACGTCATCCATAAGCACCTTCTCCACTGAACGTTAATAAGGTCGAGACCTTCCAGGGCCACGGTCACTGTAGAGAGAAAATTATATGATTACAGTATACTTCACATTATACAAATCAATTTTGTAAAAATTATATGATTACAGTATACTTCACATTATACAAATCAATTTTGTACCACAGTTCAAATCTGTTTTAAGTCTTTCACTGTTACTTGCATAGATCAATGCTACTGACATCAGTGTCACTTGTGTAGATCTAAGTTTTAAGCACAGTATCCTGAAATAGGTTGGGTGGTAAATTTTTGCCTAGATATGAGAGAATGGGTCTATGCAACAAGTGTGCATCATAAAAAATAAACCTGCCTCACAAAGTGCATTTTGGGGAAAAGCAAATCTGTGTGTGTTTAGTTTAAAATAAGCAGTAATTTCTAGGATGGTTTTTATCTGCCATTTCTTAGTATCAATTGACAGAATGGAAAACATACTATTGAACAAGAGATTTTAATGGGTTTAGAATGGGAAACAACTTCAAATAGGACTAAGTAGTGGAAATATTAGATTTTTGATGATCTTTCAAGTTTCATGGATTTTAACTAGGTCTGCCCAATTATTAGGATGCCCTGAACCATGACCAATTTTACCTCGTTATATTTATTTATTCAAAAACAAGACTCTCTGGAAAGGCATTGAATTAGGGAGCATATTATTGAGATGTATAAATGGAGACAAAGAACTTTGTCATTGGAGGCAAAGAGGGGAATGTACGAGAGTATAGTTTTACCAACGCTCTTATATGGGTGTGAAGCATGGGTGATGAATGTTGCAGCAAGGAGAAGGCTGGAGGCAGTGGAGATGTCATGTCTGAGGGCAATGTGTGGTGTCAATATAATGCAGAGAATTCGTAGTTTGGAAGTTAGGAGGAGGTGCGGGATTACCAAAACTGTTGTCCAGAGGGTTGAGGAAGGGTTGTTGAGGTGGTTCGGACATGTAGAGAGAATGGAGCGAAACAGAATGACTTCAAGAGTGTATCAGTCTGTAGTGGAAGGAAGGCGGGTTAGGGGTCGGCCTAGGAAAGGTTGGAGGGAGGGGGTAAAGGAGGTTTTGTGTGCGAGGGGCTTGGACTTCCAGCGGGCATGCGTGAGTGTGTTTGATAGGAGTGAATGGAGACAAATGGTTTTTAATACTTGACGTGCTGTTGGGGTGTGAGCAAAGTAACATATATGAAGGAATTCAGGGAAACCGGCAGGCCGGACTCGAGTCCTGGAGATGGGAAGTACAGTGCCTGCACTCTGGAGGGGTGTTAATGTTGCAGTTTAAAAACTGTAGTGTAAAGCACCCTTCTGGCAAGACAGTGATGGAGTGAATGATGGTGAAAGTTTTTCTTTTTCGGGCTACCCTGCCTTGGTGGGAATCGGCCAGTGTGATAATGATGATGATGATGATAATAATAATAATAATAATAATAATAATAATAATAATAATAACATATATTTTTTTTTCAACAAGTTGGCCGTCTCCCACCGAGGCAGGGTGACCCAAAAAAGAAAGAAAATCCCCAAAAAGAAAATGCTTTCATCATCATTCAACACTTTCACCACACTCACACATAATCACTGTTTTTGCAGAGGTGCTCAGAATACAACAGTTTAGAAGCATATACGTATAAAGATACACAACATATCCCTCCAAACTGCCAATATCCCAAACTCCTCCTTTAAAGTGCAGGCATTGTACTTCCCATTTCCAGGACTCAAGTCCGACTATATGAAAATAACCGGTTTCCATGAATCCCTTCACTAAATATTACCCTGCTCACACTCCAACAGATCATCAGGTCCCAAGTACCATTCACCTCCATTCACTCCTATCTAACACGCTCATGCACGCTTGCTGGAAGTCCAAGCCCCTTGCCCACAAAACCTCCTTTACCCCCTCTCTCCAACCCTTTTGAGGAAGACCCCTACCTCGCCTTCCTTCCCCTATAGATTTATATGCTTTCCATGTCATTCTACTTTGATCCATTCTCTCTAAATGACCAAACCACCTTAACAACCCCTCTTCTGCCCTCTGACTAATACTTTTATTAACTCCACACCTTTTCCTAATTTCCACACTCCGAATTTTCTGCACAATATTTACACCACACATTGCCCTTAGACAGGACATCTCCACTGCCTCCAACCGTCTCCTCGCTGCTGCATTTACCACCCAAGCTTCACACCCATCTAAGAGTGTTGGTACTACTATACTTTCATACATTCCCTTCTTTGCCTCCATAGATAATGTTTTTTGACTCCACATATACCTCAACGCACCACTCACCTTTTTTCCCTCATCAATTCTATGATTAACCTCATCCTTCATAAATCCATCCGCCGACACGTCAACTCCCAAGTATATGAAAACATTTACTTCTTCCATACTACTACTCCCCAATTTGATATCCATTTTTTATCTAAATCATTTGATACCCTCATCACCTTACTCTTTTCTATGTTCACTTTCAACTTTCTACCTTTACACACATTCCCAAACTCATCCACTAACCTTTGCAATTTTTCTTTAGAATCTCCCACAAGCACAGTATCATCAGCAAAAAGTAACTGTGTCAATTCCCATTTTGAATTTGATTCCCCATAATTTAATCCCACCCCTCTCCCAAACACCCTAGCATTTACTTCCTTTACAACCTCATCTATAAATATATTAAACAACCATGGTGACATTACACATCCCTGTCTAAGACCTACTTTTACCGGGAAGTAGTCTCCCTCTCTTCTACACACCCTAACCTGAGCCTCACTATCCTCATAAAAACTTTACAGCATTTAATAACTTACCACCTATTCCATATACTTGCAACATCTGCCACATGGCTCCTCTATCCACTATCACATGCCTTTTCTAAATCCATAAATGCAATAAAAACTTCCCTACCTTTATCTAAATACTGTTCACATATATGCTTCAATGTAAACATTTGATCTACACATCCCCTACCCACTCTGAAACCTCCTTGCTCATCCGCAATCCTACATTCTGTCTTACCTCTAATTCTTTCAATTATAACCCTACCGTACACTTTTCCTGGTATACTCAGTAAACTTATTCCTCTATAATTTTTAGTCTCTTTTGTCCCCTTTCCCTTTATATAAAGGGACTATACATGCTCTCTGCCAATCCCTAGGTACCTTCCCCTCTTTCATACATTTATTAAACAAAAGTACCAACCACTCCAACACTATATCCCCCCCTGCTTTTAACATTTCTGTCATGATCCCATCAGTTCCAGCTGCTTTACCCCCTTTCATTTTACGTAATGCCTCACGTACCTCCCCCACACTTACATTCTGCTCTTTTTCACTCCTAAAAGATGGTATACCTCCCTGACCAGTGCATGAAATTACTGCCTCTGTTTCTTCCTTAACATTTAAAAGTTCCTCAAAATATTCTCGCCATCTACCTAATACCTCCATCTCCCCATCTACTAACTCCCCTACTCTTTTTAACTGACAAATCCATACTTTCCCTAGGCTTTCTTGTTTAACTCACTCCACTTTAAACTTTGGATTCTTTCATAAAGGATTAGTAACTCTAGGATTTCTTTAATCAAGTTGAAATGAGGCAGCCTCAACTTCCAGAATTATTCAACAAAATGCGAGCATTTATGAAGTAAACAGGGAAAATGTGGAGTTTAGGGAATTAACCCTTTCACTGTTGAGAGCCCTGCTCACAAACTTGCTGTCTATAAAAAAAAAAAAACCAACTAGAAGTTACCGAGACTCTGAGGTGTGAAGCTGACAAAGTGAGCCGCTTACGACAACATCAGCGACTGCCACTCACTAATTGTTTTTACATTTATTGATTTTGTTTTTCAATTTTTTTTTAAGACTTTTTTGGCTTGGAAAAAAGATTGTATAAGTAACTCGTTTTATGAAAAAAAGGAAAATTATTTTCAAGAGTTTACAAAAAATGGGTTTTTAAAAATAAAGTTTTTTAAAGGTGGAAAAATGGCTTGGTTACCCCAGTTTTCAAAATGTTATGATATAAACAATAATTTATTGAAAGAAATTAACGGGTTTGGCCCCACCGTGCCCTTAAATTTGAATTGGTATGGATACTTTGGTAAAATTCAACTAAATTACTCATGGCATTTGTAGTGTTAGAATTTTGGGGAAGGTTAAAATTTGCCAGGGATTGAAAAGGGCGAATTTGGTAAAGGATGTGGCCCAGATTTTTGGGAATGAAATAAAATTTAACAAAAGGTAAGCTTTTTTTAACAACGAAGTAATATGGCACGATATTTTTGGAGATATAAAAGGTAAGAGTAATTAATATATAAAGCGTTTGGGAGGGCCCCCTTTTTCAAGAAAATTAAATGAAATAAAAAAATTTGGAAGTAACAAGGGTTTGAGCCGGGAAAAACGGGAACAAAAAACAAATAGTGTTTTAAGATAAAAATAATGGGGAAATCCCTTATAGGCGAAATTATAAAAGATCCAAGCACACGGCCCTTTAAACCCGTACCTCTTTAAAGACAAAACCTTGATTCTGCCCCTAATACTAAAAGAAGCAGCCCACTGGGAAAAAGAAATTTTTAAATAAATATAAAAACTAAGGGGGAATTTAAAATTTGGAAATGGAAATTTTTAAAAATGTTTAAGAAGGAAGGGACCTAGGGATTCATCCTTATTACATTAGATAAAAGACAAAGAGCTTGATTAAGGGAAAACACTTTACGCAGGCGAAATTATAGGGAAATTGAAGATTAATACCTGAGGGCCGGGGACAAAGGGTTTTAATGTAAGGGATGATTATTTTTAAGTTACTGCATATATTAACTATTTTAATTAATAAGGAAGTTTTAAATAAAATTTTTATTAGGCTTTTAGAAAAAGGAACCCGGCCCCCAATGGAGGGCAAAAGGTTTAAGTTTCTTAAAGGTGAGGAACCCCAGGGTTAGGGTTGTAAACACCCCTTTCCCCGTAAAGAAATTTTAATGAAAATAAGAAAAATTTGGAGGAGTTAAACAAGTTAAGAAAGCCTGGGGGAAAATTTGGGTTTTTG